ATAGAATATAGAATATAGAATATAGAATATAGAATATAGAATATAGAATATAGAATATAGGATATAGAAGATAGGAGGTAGATAGGAGATGAAGAATAGGAGATAGGAGATAGATAGGAGAAGAAGAATAGTCAGAAAACTGAAGCCATTCAGGTAATATAATAAAGCTGACTATTCAAATTTGATGAAATTAAAAGAAATAATCCAAATATTCCTTTTCAGCCTTTCAGCTCTCTTAAATTGAATTCACATTCGTAATGGGATTGGGTCATAAAATCCATTTAGCTGTTGAACCGTGAGGAGTCAGCGTTTTAATAGCCTCGCTGCTTAGCAGAGCTTAACTGTATATGAACTTAAAATTTCGAAGGGGCAGCTCCACTAGGGAAGCGCAGGTGATGCTGATATTGTTGTTGTTATTGTGCTGGCTCATTGAGACGAAAAAATTGACATGCTCAAAGGCTGTGACCAGGGCATATGGCAAATGCCATAACGGCGACTGTTAAGGAAGCGGAAAAGGAAAACGGGGCAAAATGGCAAAATGAAATGGGTACGGGAATGCGAAAGCGAATGCGAATGCGGAGGCAACAAAGAGGAAACTCACATTTTCCACTTGCTCAGCAGTAATTCAACAACAACGACAGAACAACAACAATCATAATAGAAGCATTGGCAATGCCAAGACATTATTCATTTTGCCTGTCTAACATTTTGGCCTTATTGATGGAGTGAGTTGAGCAATTGATTAAAAAACGTTGTCCTCTCTCTGTCTCTCCCCCTCTCTCCCTCTCTCTCTCTCTTTCTGTGAATAACTGACGATGATGTCGAGTCCTATAGACAAATGAAGCACAATACGAAATACGAACACACACACACACACACACACACACACACACACACACACACACACACACGTGTATGGAGACAAGGCTTGTGGCATGCTTTGATCTATGTAGGCAAAGCCATCAGCTAACAATTTGATGCTTTAATCCGGACCGGGCTGCCTGATCTAGCTTGCTTGGCCAGACAGAACCGAAGCATGAGATTCATTGGGTTTGACGTCGTTTTTTTTCGTCATAAAAAATGTATAGCAACGGGTATATAGGTTCTGCTAAAGCGAACAGCAGCTTAGTCGATGTTATTCCTCTATCTCTCCATCTACCTTTTCGCCAGTCCATCTTTTTGTCATTTTTCGTGCATGAACGCTTCGTTCATGAAACCAACAAGATTTAGTGATTTTCAAAGAGTTTTTAAGTGCTGCAAAGCAAGGCCTCAAATCTCCAAATCGTGAAAATCGATAAAAATCGATATTAAGCTTCAGTTATTTGGCTATATATTTTGATTCACAGCTAACATTCTTAATTTGTTCTAATGCCCTATGATAAATATGAATACCAATCTTCCATATAATTCTTCCACTTCACTTCACTTTATATAAAATCACAAAGCATATTTCTTAATATTCTGATGTTAATATTTTTCTGTTGTATTTCATTGTCTATATATATTTTATACAACATGTCTCCTATCAAATTAACATTCTAAGTAGGGTAGCTGCTAGTCATGCACTTGGTTCCCTTCATATTTGTTCTCTTCTCGTTTTGTTTCCTCGCTGCCCCTCTCTGTGTTGTGTGTGTGGTGTCATCCTTGTGCCTCTCTTCTAGCTGGCATCGTATTAGGGAAATTCAAATCCGCAACGATTAGAGGCAACATGTGGAAGACTGAGTTTCGTCCTTCCGTATATACACTCTCTCTCTCTGTCTCTCACTCTGTCTGTCTCTCTCTCACTCTCTCTCTCTTTGTGTGTTGCTCTCTTTCTATGTCTATTCCGCTTGCATAGGAATTAGAGCATTCAACCTTGATATTCTGGTGCACAGCTGAGCTGAGCCAAGAGCTTTACAAGTATACCTACCCATAGATGCGACCTCTGCTATTGACTGGGCAAATGAGCAAATCAGCTTGTTGCTTCGCTTCAATAAATGAAAACGGAAGCTGTACAACTTTTCGTGGTAAGACTTTGTGCCTCACTCTCTGTCTCAGTTCCTGTCTCTGACTCTGTCTTGCTCTCTCTCGCTCATGTCTTGCCTCATGCTCGACGCACAGAGTCTGGCATTTGCTTATTAGAAGCCGTAGCATGACATTTAAATGGAATTGTATTTCAGCTCACCTTGGGCACATTCCCTTGTCCACTCCATCGAGCGGCAAGTGGCACTTGCCGTGGTTTCCCTGCTCGAACCTCATTTGCTTTTGTGGTAGACCGACGGATGCGACGGATGCACAACATAATTAAATAGCAGGAAAACTAGTTTTCTCCATCAAACTCACTCAATAGACGCTGCACTTGACTTGTCATTGGCAAGCCAATAGCAAGCTGATTCGATTCTGTTAAGTTAATCAACTCTCCATATTGCGTTGCAAATGCTACCTGTTGAGCACTCTCGCTCTCCTCTCTCTCCCTCTCTCTCTCTCTCTCTCTCTTGGTCTGTGCAGGACTCTAATATCATTTTATTATTATTGATTTAGATTTCCACTTGTGCGACGTTGCTTGATTTCCTATTGCGTTGCATGCCTCTAAAATCTCGGGCTCCATGCATTATGCATCCTGAAGTCACTGCAAATGGATGACTAAACAGGTTATATTAGGTTTGTGCAAGTATATGTAACAGGTGGAGCAAAGAAGAGTGAGTAAGAGAGAAACAGAGCGACAGATAGATACTGAGGGCGACTCCATAAGGTATAAACATATATATAAATTTAATCAACAGGGGAAGCTGAGTCAAAGCAGATCGTTGTGACCTAATTACTAGCGCGTCCTATTAAACATGTCGATCTCGAGAAATACTAGATCTAGCTAATTACAATATCAAATACATATTCGTATATACTGTGGGCAGCGTCGATTAAACATTTTTATTCGAAGTCTCTTAATATTTGCTTATTATCGATAAATATCGATACTTCAAATTGGTTTTTGGCATATAACTTGAATACTATAAGAGATAAAAATATCAAAATGGTTATTTCAATGTAGATATTCCTAATGAATGTAAAGAATGAAGAATGTGAAGTAGACTCAAGGCTCACAAATGAGCATATTCACGTCCTGAATATCTATTTAGGTCATTTAACGAGTTCTCCAGTAGAATCGGTCACTTGGTCAAAGTGGGGAAGGAACTATATGAAGAGCAAGTGGTACACATACTTATGTATATAAGAGTCTGTCTATGGAAGAGCCCTGTTATATTCGGTACAGGGTATTATCTAGTCAAGCATGTCCGACTGCGACACTTAAGCCATTTTCCAGCGTAGCGATGCTGCATCATAAAACTGAGACGTCAGTTAAAGTAAGCAGCGCCAATTCGAAGGCTGTTCTAGTGGGACTCGAACTGGCTTCGACTCGGTTATTGTCCTGGCTAATAGCACATTATTCGACTCGATTCGACTCGACTCTATTAGGCTTTAGCCAGATTTCCATTAAGTGTTGATGTGCAACTTTTACTAACGCTTGCTCGAAACTTATGAACTTTGTTGATCTCATTCAGTGTCTGGTGGGGCAAACCCTACATGTCAGATACATTAAGCGCAAATTGTAAAGGCTATTGGATGGTGGGGTGGTGGGGTGGCTGGGTGACTCGTGGTCAGCTTTGTGGTTTTGTGCGTTTTACAGCAAATCAATGATCCGCCCAGTGGGCTGTGAAATTTTATTAGCACAAAATGATTTCATGTGCCAAATATTTGGTTAAATTGGCACTGACTGTTCGTAATGCGGAGGCCGGGCCCACACGGTTTGGTTAATGGCAGCGCGCTCTGAATTTTACGAGCATTAACGGGGCGGGGCATTGCGTATACGCAGAGTGCGTTACAAATGCCAGCCACGCGCCAGAGCTGAGCGTTTAAGTGCACTTTGCCTTTAATCTGCAAGCAGAATTAATGTGCTTATCGATGCTTGAGATAAAAATAAAAATAAATATAAAGATGAAGATAACAACGATGATGATGATGATGATGATGAGAAAGATAATGATGATGTTGTTTAACGCTTCTCGTCTGGTCGTCTTTTCGTTGCAGGCATTTGGTACAACAGCGAGCGAGACCACCGCGATTGGGTACGCGTTGCCGGGCGATAGTACCCATTGTACCCTGTCAAAGGGTTGAGACCATCATCACTGCGCAAATCGTCCTACTCCAACAGCAGCAGCAGCTGCAGCAGCATCAACAACAGCAGCAGCGCCTGTCCCCCGCCGCCGCCCACGCCGCATCAGATCCAAGCAAACGCCAGCACCAGTCAGCACCAACAAAGGCACCAACAGCAGCAACAGCAGCAACAGCAGCAACAGCAACAGCATCCACAATACAGACGCAACAGCAGCAGCTTGGCAGCGAAGCCTGCCATCAATTTGCTCAGCAATCGACAGCAGTTCAACTACTTCGAGTTCCCATCGCCGACTCGCACCGCCAGCTCCTTGCTGGCCAATCGATACACCGCTGCAGTCTCCACACCAGCGCTCGACTGCAATCCCGGCACGAGCTGCAACAGCAACAGCCACAGCCACAGCAATTGCAACAACCACAACAACAACAACAACAGCAGCAGCACCAGCTACAGCTCTGCGGTTGCAAAAGCGGCTGCTTCGACTGCTTGTGCTCTACTTGCCACGTGCCACGTGGCCAGCAATTCGTCCACAGCCCCAGCTCCGGCACCTGCACCAGCACCAGCCCCAAACCCAGCCCCAACCACCTGTCAGCCAGAAACCACAAACAGAGAGAGCATGGGTCGACGTGAGATTAAACGCTCCAATACCAGTGGCTCCACCTCCAGATCATATGACAGCGGCAGCGGTAAGTACTTGTAATACCCACCGATGGTAACAATATCTAGTGCTCTAGAGTGCTCTTGGTGGGGAGTGCCTGACCAGGTGATACTCTGTCTGTGCTCTGCAATACAAATACAGCTGAGGGTCACTTTCCTGACTTGGATAACTCTTATTTTCATCAATTGAATTCTTCGCCTGTTCTTCAGAGTCTATAAGAATATGTTTATCTATTTGGGAAGCACTTTACTTACCTCACTCGTAATTGTATTATCGGTTGTTATCGATTGCTGTTGAGCAGTTATCGATCTACATAGGATGTAGAAGAAGAGAATGATCATATTATAGTAGTATAAACAATATATAGAAGTGTTAGCAATACTCCCAAATAGAATAACTTTATCAATATTGACTCGGCACTTGATGCTGATCCATTTCTTATATACCCTCTGCACTGATCCACGCCCTTTAAAGCCACTTACAAGAGGTTAAGCCTTGCCCCAGCAACGGCAATCAGTTTATTTCCATTCAGAACTGACCAACTCTGTGCACCACAACAAACGAAACACAAATCAATTAAGCCAGAGAGACAATGGCAACGGAGTAGGCGTGGCATTATTAAAACCGCAACGTAATCGGCTTAGAGGGTCGCTGCTAGGTCTGTAAATGCGATTGCGAGTGACACTAGGCTGACAAATTAAATCAGCTGAGATTTGTTGTCAAGTTGTCAGCCAGCTGTCGAGGGAATCGAACATGTGAAGGCGTTGAGGATGGCCCCAGCGCAAGTGGAATGCCAATCGGCTGCAGATGAAATATATATATACTTTATAGTATATATATAGACATATGTATATATGTAAACAACAACAAACGGTGGTGAGCATTTATTAGTTTTGGTTTAGAGTCTGCACAATATATATCTTAAATTACGAGTAAATATTATGTTAGGCGAGTACGAGTATTAAATTTATAATTGTGTGAGTGTGTGGGTGTGTAAGCAATTGTTTGTTGAGCTGTGTAAACAAAGCGTTCGACTAGATTTCTGTTGTTCCATAATATGCATTAAAATAGTAGTCAAGGTCTAGGAAAACGAAAGCGAGGCATATGTAGCACATATTGAATCGATAGAGATGAGATAGTCCAGTAACATATTGATGATATGGAGTTGAGAAAACTCCCATAATGTTGAAGGAGCAGGAATATTAAAGTCTTATCAATTGCTCAACCACATCCGAAAGGGATAGAGACGAATTTTGACTTGGGGCTTATGAGTACCTGGGTACTTCTACTCTATGAAATGGTAGAAAAGTTTCTATTTGTTAACCAGACATGAACTGTTGAGAAGGAGAAGCGAGCTTATGAGTAGAACAGCTTATAAGAACAGATATATCTGCGAGACAAAAGGATTTTTCTAAAACTTTAAGGATAATGGCGAAGAGAAGTGTTTGTCTTATCCTTAAAGCTTTTTCCTCTAAAAGGGTTTTTCAAATGAGCCCGAAATGCGAGTTTGTTGAGCCAGCAAATGCCGAAAAGCTGAAGTGATTCAGATCCATGCTGATGTCGAGGTTTGTGTGGAGCAGTTTAGCAAAATATTTAGTTTGATTCTTCATGGCGAATGACTGCTAAGAGACTAAGAGCAAGTAGAGAGTATCTCAGCGAGATGTTGCTGGCAGCCACGGCGGTGAAAACAATCGTAAAGCGGACCCAGCGACTGCAGGCTGCAACAGAGCTGCGAGGCGCGATGACAGGCCGTGCCTGATGCAAAGCTGGACTCCTGCGGGAATAGCACGGCATCTGCGAAATAACAAATCAAATCGATTTAGTTGGCAAAGCCCCTCGGACACACATGGCTCTATGTGTACTCAGCTCACCTTGTCGGAACATGGGACGTGGCTGTTGCTGTGGCTGAGGCAACGTCTGGGGCCTTGGCTGGAGCGTTATTGGCCAGGGGGGCGACTGGAAGACGGGCGCGCGGATGCCTGCAAGTGGAAGAAATGGAAGTGTGAGCGCATGCATGCGGGTGATTAGCCAACCAATAAGAACTTAATGCATTTACACTCCAACAGGCACTGGGTGCAGCGCCCCAGAGCCCCGGTACCCCGCACCCCGCACTCCTGAACACCAAACACTATGCAGTTAGTAACTGTGGCAACAAAAGCGATTGTTGCCACGGTTGCATGCAACACATTTGCGGCTGATGTGGGTTAGATAAAGCCCCACTCCAGCTAGAATCAAGCAACTTTGAATTGAATGAGACGGTGCAGTAGGACAGCATATGTTTATAATAGATGCGTTAAGAGGAAAGAAGAAAATTAAACAGGAAAAATAAATAGTATATAAGAGAGTTATAGATCCATGACAAAATAGTGTCTGTAATGTCTGTATCATTTCAGTCGGCTGTTACTGACCTATCATGCACGTCCAAGCTTGATTAACAGTTTATTTTTATTGAGTTTGAAACAAGTAAAATGACTCTAGTCGAGACTGCTCGACTACGCAATCCCCTGAACCCTGCAAGGAACTGATATATCAATAATTCTTCGCGTCTTTCTGCTCACATAGGGAACACACGCACAAAAACACACAGGCACGCACGAATGCATTCATATATAGAAATCCCCAAAGATGTAGTTAATGCAGCTGCCTGACAAAAGCTGAATGATACGAGACTCGATGGAAGGTGCATTAAAAAAACTTGTGGAAATATTAATCTGATTTGCTCGTTCAGACTAAAGCATAGCCACATTAATACCTCTGAAACTGTGGGCCAACTTTTCTAGATTGTCACAAAAACAAAACTTGAAAC